GCTCTATCAGTTGTTTGTTTACTTGGTTTTATCCCAGTCTTTGACTTTCCCCTCACACACACACACACACACACACACACACACACACACACACACACACAGGGCTGTGGCCTTTTCTGTTGTCTCTCTGTCTTACTCATTGTTTTATCCTCAAAGCCTAGCCCAGTGTTTAGCAAATAGTAAGTGTTCAATTTACATAAGTGAAAAAGTATCCTATAATTTATGTCATTAAAACAGGCTGATAAGTATGAACAATTACTAATGAACTATTATTAGAGTTGGGATTTTGCCAGGTTCCTTAAGAAACAGACATATCTTTTTATGGCACTCACCTTGTCAAAACTTTTCCCAACAACTGTGATTTTATACTCAGAGCTACCTTAGGAGATTTCAAGGCTGGGTGTTAATAGCTCCATTTTACAGAAGAAATTGAGACAAAAATGTCAGGCAGTACCTCAAGGTCTCACAGCAGCTCAAGGTCTCACAGAAGAAGTTGTTTTAGTGCTTCATTTTGAAATATGTTGGCTATGATGGATTTTTTAAAATTGTAAGTTGTCTGTATATTTATTGTCTACTCTGTAGAGATTTGGTGGAGACAGTGTGAAATACTAGAAATAGGTGTGCTTTGGGAAGAGAGGCATTATTTATTAATATTGTGCACTGATCTCATATTCTTGCCTGTTTTGTTGTTTTCATGTAATAGAATTGATGTCTTTGTGAAAGCTTTCCATTTTCATTAAGATTATTCCAGAGACTGATATGATATTGATACGATGATGTGATTTGTGTTGGGACTTCATTGTGTCTTTTGATTATTAAAATATTTGTTTCGTTGGAATAATGCTCAGAGATTTGAAATTGTCATGTGAGGACAAAAACTTACATATTTCCTTGGACTCTGCAGAATCCAGATTCTGTCCTTACTTGATTGTTTGACCTCAGGCAAGTCGCTTAACCTTCCTGGAAGTGTAGGTGGAGAGTAACTGGGGCTTGGGGGTGGGGATGTAGAGTTGATTAGGGGTAAGATGGTTTGGAGGATAAAATCTAGATATGAGTGCAAGTGAAACTGTTTTTAATGTTAAGTTCTTTTCTAGCCTATTCACTCCAGAAATTTTAGTCACACTTAATTATTAAATAGATTAGGATGTTATTCATATCTTTTCTTTTTTCTGTTCTAATTCCATATTTTTGTATTCTTCCATTTTGTGGTCATTAGACAAATCTTTTTGTCAGATATTCTGACTCAATGCTGGTTTTATATGGTTGAGCTGAGCATAAAAGAGAGGAAATTGATATTTGCACCAATATTGTATACTCTGTGCTCTATCAATCCTTTCCTGGGTCAATGTAAGCAGCATTTTTTTCAACAAGCATTAAATATACATATACTCCACTTTGCCATTGTCAAAAAGCCCTGAATTCTAATGCCTATAGACTGTTAGTCATATACTTGTAGATATTTTAGATACACAAAAGAACTATCAGATTATCCAGCATTGAGTCTTCTCTTTATAGGTGAGCAAATGTTGGCCCAGGCAGGGAAGGTAAGTATCATATAACATGATTCAGAGCCAGGACTCCCAGGGACTTATAGTCAGGAAAAACTTCTAAGAGAAACTATACTTAAAGGGAAGTTTAGAGGTAAGTGGATATTGGTGAGAGGAAGTTCTCAGAGGGGGTGACTATATTGAGGGAAGTGCCAGGCTCACAGGCAAGTCCCTGAGTCTGGCATCAGCAAGGAACCTTCCAGGAATGGCTGGAAAAGAAAGGGGAGGATCACACTGAGCCCTGCAGGCCTAGTTGTCGGTTATCTGCAGACAGAAGCAGTGGAGGACTAAAGAACTCAAGAGCAGAGAGAGGAAGAGAAAGGCTTTAAATCATGTTCAAAAAAGCAGGGGTGAGGAGCCTTCTTCTGCCAAGGGCCATTTGAATATGTATTACGTCATTTGAGGGCCATACAAAATTATTGACTTAAAAATTAGTCTGCTATATTTGGTCGAACATTTAATTAACTCATCCCTTTTACGTTGGTAGGCCAGACGAAATGATATGTGGGCCTTATACAGCCCACAGGCCGGACGTTCCCCACCCCTGCTCTAAAGCATCACCCATCTGAAATTTTCCTAGGTCTGACTCCCAAAGTTCAAAGCTCAGCTACTTAGGTGGGTAGGAGTAAAGTTGCCTAAATTCTCTACGCCACAGGCTAATCGTTTGCAAGTGGGGGTAATAATGTTATGTACCTCACAGGATTTTGTGAGAAGGATGTGAGGATATACAAGTTGCCTGGCACTAGGAAGAACTCTCTGATAAAGTTTTCTAACAGTAATAGAAATAATCATAGTAGTAGCAACCATCTTTTAAGCATTGTGAAGAGCATTCTTCATGCAGAGATGCAGAGTTCCACAATCCCTAATTGACAATTTCAAATTCCAAACACTAAAAAATAAGCTCCCCCCCTGCCCCAAAGTATGGCACAACCTTCTTTTGTGGCAAAACCTGACCTGAATGAATTGAGGGTATTTATGGCCTTTATTTATTCTCTTAGTGTGAGCATGTATACATTGCATTGTGGGGAATATTGCTATTTGATTCTGGGTTCTGCCCAGATCATGCTGGGAGAAAGAACATTGCATTCTATTCTAAAATTCAAACGACTCTGAATTTGAAGATACAGGTGACTCCAAGGGTTCCAGTGAGGAACTGTGGATCTGTATTATCTCAATCTTCAGCAACCCTTGATATAGATATTTCCATCCCAAGCCTACTGCTATAAAAACGGAGGTTTTCAGTAGTTTAATTTGCCCAAAGTCTCATATTGTTCACAGAGGTAGAGTAGAAATTTTGGTCTAGGGTCGCCTGACTATGCTTTGAAGAATCTGACCTATTTGTATGCTCGCCTATATCTTATTTATGTCCATAACATTTTAAAAAATGTTTTGTATAATTTAAACACTGCTGTATTCTAAAGAGCCATAGTTTATGTTTCTAGCAAATAGAAGCATTTTCACAGCCTGATAGTGTTCTGTTACCTAGAGGTTTTATAGATAAGGGGCTCATTTCATAATGGCAGTAGGAATAATTATTATTACTATTTTGATGGCAGCTATAATTTATCTTGCACATTATGTGTGCACACATTTGCAAAGTGCTTGCATTTTGCATGCATTACCTTGTTTAATCATTATATCAACCGAATGAGGTAGGTGTTTTACTCTGTTTTATAAAGACAAAACCAAGACTTAAAGATGTTAAGTAAACTGTCAGCATACGCAGATAGTAAGTAATAAAACAGAGCTAGGATTTGAACCCTGGTAAATTAATTTCAGGTACTGCATTCTTTTTTTAAGCTTCTCTTTTGTTTTATAATAATTAAAGTCACACATATATATATGGAAAAATTACAAATAGTAAAAAGATTGTGCAATATCCCACCTCAGAAAACAATCCAACAATCTCACTTCCCACAGTTGCCATCATCCAGTTCCTTTTGCACTGTGCAAAATATAGCCTCTCATACACACAGTTTTTTAATATTCATATAGCCTATCTAATAAGGAGGGAATATGCTAATTGACTGCCCCACCCTCAAAGATGGCAGTGCCCACAGCCAATAAGGAGGGAATATGCTAATTGATTGCCCCACCTTCAAAGATGGCGGCGCCCACAGCCACAAGATGGTGGCACCCAGTCCCCTCAGCCCCGCGAGGGCTGCAGGTGTGCGGCAAGGCTGGGCCCACCCCTAGGTGAGCCTGGCCACTCTGTGTGCCTGCCTCTGGATACCCCCAGTCCCCTCAGTCCCCCAGCCACCCAGGGCTGGCCCAAGGCACAGGCAAGCCTCAGATGGCGGCTGCCCAGCCGCCCAGGGCCGCCCGAGGTGCAGGTAACCAGGGCTGGCTGAGGCTCGTGCTGGCGGCAGTGGCAGCAGCCTAGGTGTGATGGGGCGGTGCCTTCCCCTGATCGCCGTGTCACCTCCTGCCCCTGAGGGCTTCTGGACTGTGAAAGGGGGCAGTCCAGGCTGAGGGACTGCCGCCCCCCCCCCCCCCCCCCCCGCTCCAGTGCATACATCTAAGGCCTGGTGCATGAAAATTCATGCACTACAGCGGGGGGCGGTCCCTCAGCCTGGCCTGCCCCCTTTTATAGTATATATAGTATTCTATAGCTTAATTTTTTTCATAAAGCATCATATTATAGAAACTTTTCTACATCTGCCCATATAGATCTAAATGATTATTTCATATCTACAAAGTATTTCAGTGTAGGGACATAATATAATTTATTTAACCAGACTCCTATTGATGGATATTTAAATCATTTTAAATTTATGATGCTTGCAAACACTACTGCAAATGAACACTTCACACAAACATTTTTTCATTCAGATTAAATCATATCTTTAAGATGAATTTTCTAGCAGTGGATTGTTGTGCTAAAAGAGTATTTGAGTTTTAAATGCTGAAAGATATGGACAGATTGTCCTCCAAGAATTTTGCTTTCTCAAGAGTGTGTATTGTCAAACTCTTTAAGTCCTTATATATTTAAGGATGAACACTGTAATATTTTTCTATTGCAGTTTCTATTTAAATTTAATTATTGGCAAGGAGGAGCACATTTTTATGTCTTTATAAGACAATTGTGTTTTTATTTCTAAAAACTGGCCATTGATGTCCTCTATCTTTTGTCCATGGAATGTTAAATGTTTTGCATGTTGAATGCTTTTTAAAAAAACATTATCTTTTATTCCACGTTGAGTATTTTCTTACTGGTTTGTATGAGCTCTTCACACATTATTTATATGTTGTAGATATTTTCTGAGCTTGTAATTTAGTCCTTTAATTGTCTCTGTAGGCTTTTTTTATGGAAAAAGAGGTTCATTTATATGTAGGTAAATATTTCAGTTTTTTCTTAGAGCCCACACTTCTAAACATACTGTGTGCTTAACAACTGCCTCTAATTTATAGAGTGATAATGTTAATTCCAGTTTTATTGTCACTTTTGCTCAGGTGTACTAACAGAGCCAACAACAGGTCCTCTGGGGCAAAACCTAGAAGTGGAATCGTACTCACAATACAACAACACTCAGTTTCCTCAAGTTCAACCACAGATTTCCTCCTCATCCTATTATTCCAGCCTGGGTTTCTACCCCCAGCAGCCTGAAGAGTGGTACTCTCCGGGACTATATGAACTCAAGCCACTGCCCACTGAGACCCTCTACCAGGGAGAGACTGAGGTAGCAGAGATTCCTGTGACAAAGAAGCCTCGAATGGGCACGTCAGCCGGGAGAATAAAAGGAGATGAGCTATGTGTCGTTTGTGGAGACCGAGCATCCGGATACCATTATAACGCACTGACCTGTGAGGGGTGCAAAGGTAAGCGTCTTTTGGCTGGCCGCATTCTCCTCGTTAAGCTTTTACTATATTAGTTGTATAATTCCCTCAAACCAGATTGTTCCCTTTTCCCAGATAACTTTCCATTTTCTCCTACCTCTTCCTATCTCCTCACCTGGGTTGGCATGTCATAGACCTCTAGGAAAAGCCTATTAAAATATGTAGCTTAGATATGTCACCTTTTACTTATTCACAACCTTACACATAGTTAAGAAATGTATGACTGTTGATTTTGTTTGTTTTTTTGCTGTTTTCTTTTAAAGAGAAATTTGAACTTACCTCTTTAAGAATTAAGAAAGAAGGAAGTAATAATAGCTTATTTCAACTGATATTTCAGTTAGCAGGAAATATCTGTGAGATGCTGTGGGAGGTGGGATCAATGACATTGCAGTCCATTTAGAAGGAAGAAAATTTAACACATGAAATATAAAAATGACGCAATGTGTAGTCCTATGAGATTACTCTCCCAACAAGGACACAGGTAGTAAGTTGTAAAATTTCAGAGGAAAGGACAGAGAGGTTAACCCACAAATAGGTTAACCCATTTATCTTTGTATTTCTTCATTCAACAAATATTTATGGAATGCCTACCACGCACTCTGCTAGCTTCTACGACATTGGAAGCTGAATAATAACTGCCCTTGAGCGGAATCTATTGAATGGTGTGCCAAATGCAGATGCCAATGATTGCCATACAAACAAACAGTCACATAAAAGTGGCTCAAGGACATTTCAGACCTTTGGAAGTTCAAATGGTCAGATTGTGTAAAAAAACTACATTAGGCATTGTGCTGTCATTACCTTTTTAAAACATAAGTAGTGTTTATGCCCCACATTTAAAAATTAAAACAGATCTATACAGAACATTTAAAACATCTCATTTATGGCCTTCAATATATCCTTATTCTTTTTGTGGAGAGTCAAGTTTGTATAGGTGAAAAGAGAACTTGTAAATTCTTTGAAGGCATAGATGATGTCTTCAGCTCTATTACTTCCCATAGCACCCAACACAGTGCCTGCCACACAAGTGTGAAATGAATGTTTGAATGACATATGAAAATCCATGATCACCATTGGTACTTAACATATATAACTCTACTTTGTAAAAATATTTTCAGACTCTTTTATACTACCTAATTCTTTCATAACTCCAAATGATAAGAGTAAATATTACCCTCCCACCCCCATATTTGGTGACAATTTTTTTTCTTGAGTAGGCAGAGTTTTGAAGATGGAAATCTGATTTTGTGACAGTTAAAAGAAAGAGAGTTGAAAATTGCTAAGAGAGTAGATCTTAAATGTTCTCACCACAGAAAAGAAATAGCATTGATGTACCTGGATGGAGGTGTTAGCTAAGGCTATGGTGGGCATCACTCTGCAATAAGTAAGTGCATCAGTCAACACGTACAGCTTAAACCTACATAATGTTATATGTTAATTATATCTCAATAAACCTGGAAAAAAGAAACAAAAAAACCACTGAAATGAAAAAGAGAGATAGGTGAAGTAAAGTAGGGAGGAGAAGCTAGTTGCTTAGGAAAAATAAAATAGTTTCAAAATGACCAGCATGAAAGTTGGATTTTTTTAAAAAAAAATTCTAGCCCCACCAGCGTAGCTCAGTAGTTTAGCATCCACCTATACTATAAAGCAGAAGGTCACGGTTTGATTCCTGATCAGGGCACATGCCCAGGTTGGGGGTTTGATCCTCTGTAGGGTGCCTGCAGCGGGCAGCTGATCAATGATTCTCTCTCATCATTGATGTTTCTATTTCTTGCTCCCTTTCCTCCCTTTCTCTGAAATCAATAAAAATATATTTAAAAAATAATTTTTAAAAGTGTACACATAGGTTTGAGAAATCAACTGACCTACAAAAAAGAAAAAGAGCTTTGTAGTAGCTCTAGTCAAAAAGTGGCTGGGCCTGTTATTATAGAGGGAAAATGAGGACCAAAGGATGAAACATATAGGATGGCATATTTGGGCATAATTCAAGAAATACTTTTCTATAAAGGAGAGAAACATTCTTTTTTTAAAAAATACTCACCTAAGGATATGCTTTTACTGATTTTGAGAAAGAGCGAGCGAGAGAGAGAGAGAGAGAGAGGGAGAGAGATCAATTGGTTGCTTCCTGTACACACCCTGACCGGGTATCAAACCTGCAACTAAAGTATGAGCCCTGACTGGGAATTGAACTCCCAACCTTTTTGGTGTATAGGACAATGCTCCAACCAGCCCAGCCACGTGGCTGCTTTCTTGAAGTGAGCTATGTTTTTCATGTTGATTCAAATTGCTTTTTATTAAACTTCTCATGCTATTTTTTAATACAAAAAGATTTTATACAACAAAAGAACAAAAACAAGTTTAGAAAATTAAATACAAACAAAACTATAAAATCAATAAAATAATAGATGGTTTATAGTATGTGGGTTTTTTTGCTCAAGATGTCACTAAAGCACAGGTTCTGCCCAGCCAGAGTGGCTCAGTGGTTGAGCATCGACCTATGAACCAGGTGGTCCCAGGTTTGATTCCCAGTCAGGGCACATGCCTGGATTGGAGGCTGGATCCCCAGTGTGGGGTGTGCAGGAGGCAGCCGGTCAGTGATTCTCTCTCATCATTGATGTTTCTATCTCTCCCTTTCCCTTCCACTCTGAAATCAATAAAAGATTATATATATATATATATATATATATATATATATATATATATATATATTTAAATAAAATAAAATAAAGCACAGGTTCTTTTGAGTGTGGTATGCCTATGCCACAGGTCATGTGAGGCCTCAGTTCCCCGCTGCTTGTCTTTGTTCAAACGACTGATCAGCCAAACTGTGGTTCATCTAGGGCTCCATCTGGCTACCCCTAAGCTGAGGACATCCCGTGCATATTAAGTTTACCTTTTGCACTTCCTCCAAGCTCTTGACAAATAAATCATGTCTCTTGCTGTTAATAAGATCATGGACACAAACAAAAATGAGGGCATTTAGTTTGTATGGCAGTATAAGATGGTCATAGGGATGATCCAGAGAATGCTGTTATTAATTTTTAAAGACATTCAGGAAATAAAACTATAAAAATAAATTTATTATGTGCAAAGGACTTTAAAAAAAAGTCTGGCACATAGCCCCAAATCAATAAATGCCTATTGTTATTGTTTTATGGTCTTAGACTCTATTAACATTGAGTATACTGGTGTGTGACTATTTTCTGCTTATCTTGATAAAGGTTGATGCCCAACCCATTGTCAGTTGTTTGGCAAGACTTATTCCATTTGATATTGACTTATTTCCAAAAGCCTGTCCACCTTGTCTGTGTGGACCAGTGCTACTAAAAAATATCAGTTCAATATCACATGGGAAGTTGTGGGAAATGCAAATTTGAGGACCCTGCCCCAGAACGACAGACTCAGAATTTCTGGGAATTCTGTGACTTAACAAGCCCTCCTTGCTAAAGTTTGAGAAGTACTTACGTTAATCATACCTAAAAGGCACCTGAGTTGACTCATCTGGCCAAGCAGCTTGGTTGTGCATTGCCGTTGTGAAATTCTCAAAGGTGGGGATTCTGCTCTCCAGCCATCCAGAGGAAAATTCAATGGATAAAAATGTTGACTGGAAACACACAAAGTCTAACCCAGTCATGGTTCCTGCTTGGAAAAGAATAGGAAAGGACATGCATTCTAAAAATCCCATTATAAATATGACCCTACAAATTTCAGTGCCAATGACATGCCAGTGCTACAGACACTTTCTTAGGCCCTTGCAGCAACTGTGGGAAGTAGGTGTCACTGTGCCTATTTTAAAGGTGAAGAATAAGCATATCGTTTCAAAAAGAAGCTGAGATTTGGAGGCCAGTGCTAATAGCTTATGTGATGTATTTACTATACATCAGGAGTAAAAGCGCTAATAACTTATCTCCATTTTATAGATGAAGAAAGTAAGGCACAAGAGGTTAATCAGCTTACTCAAGGCTTCTCAATAAGGGGTGGAGCTTCAAATGGACAGCTTATAGATCTAATTCTAGAGCCTCTATTATTGACCACCGGGTTATGATGCGTTTTATTGCTTGCCCACTAAGAGATCATTCTACTCTTTACGCTATTTAGTCAAGGCTAATATTGACTAATTCAGTGACCAAAGGAAGAACATCAAGAGCTCACTTAGGTGTTAAGGTATTGGTATTATCCACGCCAAGGACAAGAGTCTCTAAAGTCAGTAACCTGGGTTGGCTCACCTCTTACAGGTGAAAGCTGTAGTGAAACCTGGTCCTCCTGAGAACTCAGGGGTGTGGCAGGGTGAATAGTGTGAGACCAGTGTGTTGAGGACAAACCTAAGAAACACGGACTCTAAGGCAGGCAAGGGAGGAGATGCCCATAAAGGATACAGAATAGAAGTCTACCTTCTATTGATAGAATAGGAAACGAGTGGAATGGAATGGAATGGAATGGAATGGAATGGAATGGAATGGAATGGAATGGAATGGGAGGCTACAAGAGAAGTGCAGGGTCACAGGAGAGAAGGAAGGGGACTGAAAAGTGGTTGAAAGAGATCAATGCTTGGGGGAGTTCAGGAAGAAAAAGTTGGATCTGAAATAGATACAGTTTTAAGAGCAGAGAAAGGAGGCAGAGCTTTTTAATTTATTTTGATTTGAGACTTTGCCCCCCTGGTGGCAGCCAAAGGACCAGAGTGCAAATAAGGACATGATGTGGAGCCAGCCAGAGCCCATGGTCTACTCCAGGGGTTGGCCATTTTTTTTTTTTTTGTAGAGACAGGTAGTAAATGTTGTAGGCTTTGCACCATAGTGGTCTCTTTTGCAATTATGCAACTCTGCAAACACAGCCATGCCCAAAAAAAGGGGGCATGGCTGTGGTTTTACTTAGCTGACAAACAATAGGCAGAACTTTTTTAAAAACACACATACAAAAATAGGGATTTGGTCCATGGACTTAGCAGTAGTTTGCTGACCCCTTTTAGACCAATGATCTCGAGG